CCTTCTAATTCTTTCACCTAGGGTTGAAGTAGATTTATTCATTTTCTTCTAAAGTCTACAACATTGTTTTTCTCGAGCTTTTTTTGAAAAGAGATATCGTCCCGTTACTGAACTCCTTTTTCAGTGCAAAGTGTCTACGTTTATAAATATTTCTCACTAAAAATTTATTTGTTGAATTTGCAAACCCAACGAGAGCTCTTGGCTTGTGTCGTTGTCACATCGTCGACGCATTGTCAAATTGTAGGACTGGCAATTTCTCGTTGTGTTTCCAAAGGCGAATAAGCTCCTTGTTGTTTTCGTTGTTTATGCATTCACGATTAACAGCAGGCAGCACTTCTCTGTTGTTTTTTAAGGTATTTTATTGGTCAATAAAATTATTACAATTCCTCTTATGTTTTTAGTCAACTTATGCTGTGCTGGATTATAAGACGCACTATCTTGGGTGGTCTGGCCGAATAGTAGTTTTTTTTTTGAGTCAAAGTAGCATTTAATAAAACATGGATGATTTCCGTTATATTTAACTACAGAATCAGATGTGCGAGTTCCAGTAAACAAATGAAAATCGCAATATTAACTATCCAACAAGCGAAAGGATGTGCACTCAAAGGTGGAGCTACGCGGCATCATTCTGAGCTCTAGGCAATTTTAGAAAAGGGCTTGAAACATCTTTAGGCCTAATATTCACACTTGTTGTTGTGATACTATCTAATTTGGCTTTGTTTTGCCTACAAAGTCTTCATTGCTGGTAGAAAATATATAATTGGCAGCTGGAAAACATGAACTGACATTAGTGGCTTTGTTCGGTTGGAAAACGCTCACAAAGGACGTTTTCAACTAAGTCATGCTGAACAAATACATTTTGAATGCTTCAACATGTTTTTGAACAACTGCGTAGCCAATTACAAAACATTATTGATCAGATTATAGGAACGTGCAAGTGTAGGAAGCTCTAAAAGATTGCGACTTTTGCCCCCCGAGTAAGTTAGGGTTCCCAGCCTCGGTGCCATTAGTTACTCGATACCTAGTATAGATCATGAAGGCACTGCAGCTATAGACTAACTCTAGTGGATTTGTTGCTTGACTGTAAGACGATTGTTTGAATTCAAAGGAGTGAACAGAAAAGAATTTACAATTAAACTGTTACATAAACTAAGCGGCAAGTTTACCTTATTTGATAAATGTTAGACTTTCAAATTAGCTCTTTTGATTGAAGAACTGAGAAAGATTTAAATGAATTAAATTCGTTCAAATGCTCTGCGCTCAAAATTTGCAGGATTCCAAAGTGACTATGTTAAAGTTTGCCCTTCAACTGTCACCAACCAGTACCATTTACCTGAGACTGTAACTACTTGCGCGATTCCTTAACATCGAGAATTGCAACAATCAGTGGCGCAAAAGAATTTGGATCCTTCTAGGTCTCATGACAAAAGCGGCAACTCTCTAGAGGATCCTGTTATTGTGTCATTGAAACTTTACATCTTATTCCAAGATGATGGTAAAAACGCTTATATAACAATTCTGATCGTTGATAATTCTAAAATTTTCTATTACTGTAAAATAGTTACGTCTCTTCTGAGGAAAAACCTGTCTCAGATAACTGCTGCGCCATCAGTCTCGCAGAACCTCCAAAAAGAATTAAAATTGAGGTTGGGATCACAAATAA